GATTTGAAACCTGAAATTTGGACTTTATCTGTATCTGGCTATGGATCCAAGATTTGGATTTGATTGGGTGCATTTGGATCCCAAATTTGGATCCAAAATAGTAATTCAGATCGGATCTAGGTACAGGTGGATCCGATTCGGATCTGACCTAGTTATTAAAATATTATATATTTATATATATATAGATATACATATATATTATACTATATTTTTTGTTATACATTAGTTTATATTGTTTTATCGATATAAAATAATGTATAAAATAATTTTTTGAATCTGAATCCCATGTATACTTTTTGGATCTAGATCTAGATCTAAATATTCAGGATCTGATCGGGTTTGGATCCCATGTATATTTCTCATATCCAAATCTGGACCCCGATGAATCCGGACCTGATCCGACACATTCTCAGCCCAAAGAGGGAGAGAGATGAAATAGATAAGCTCATCCAATCATGATATTATTGCGGCTCCCTCCAAATCACGATATTGCGGCTTCCGACAATTACAAAGCGGTTCCTCTTTTCTTGACTACTCGTGTTTCAACAAATTTCCAGAGATTAAACAATGAATCAGGGTTTTTGGGGCAGGATTGTGGTCTAGATGCACCTGTTAGACACTTAGGTTGGGAGAACCATATGGAGGTAGATGCATTAGCCTAGGAAGAAATGCTTAAGCCTTCTCTTATTGCACCTTGCTTTGTTTTTTTTGTAGAGTCCACTATATGTAGACTAAACAATTAATAAATGAGATGACACATATCTCAATTTTGGGTCAATTAATAAAAGTTTGTGTTAACATTATAAAAACAAAGTTCTTCAAATTATAAGAGAAAAACACTGAAATAACATTCTAATATAAAATTGAAAAGTATTTTTTGAGATTAGTTATTTTTGGTACAAGGTGCTCACAATTAATCTTGACCATCGAATGTGAAATTGGATAGCTACATTTATTCCATAGACTAAGCTCAAACTTTGAAATAAATTTTCATGAATTTTGTGATACACGCATGCTATCATGTTTCACATCAGATGTTTGTAAGTAATTTGTGACCTCTTTGTATTAAAGGTAAATGGTCTCATTGTATACAACCCCACATAACATTTAGCAAGATTTTATTGCAATAGTTTCCTTTCCTCAAATGTGTAGATGATTAGGATATCCACACACACCACCACTATAAATTTGTGCTACACTAACATACCAAGTAATATATACCAATTACTAGGATTTGGGTTTGGGTTTGGGTTTGATTGGTCAAGGTGGTGACAATTACCTTGCTAAGAAAAAGGTAGTGCCCATTAGATCAGCCCATATTCAATTTGGACCTCAGACTCTCCCTATATCTTTACACACATACACACACACACACACACACATATATATATATATATATATATATATGGAATAATCTAAACTTCACAACCCTTCAAATTACAAAGGTTGAAGATAGAGAGAGTTGTGAAGGGTGGATTTAATGATCTTGTAGTCCATTTTTTAAAAAAATTACTTTTGTAGGGCAATTTTGTAAATATTGCTACAAGACAAAGAGTACTTTTATCATCTCCATGAGGGGTAAAATTGAAATTTTAACTAAAAGACAAAGGCATTATATAAATAAAGTTCTAAGACTTTAACTTCTAAAATGTCATTGTATTTTTGTAAAAATTTCAAATTTGCTCTTGTTTAATGGTAAAGTTACGTATTTAAATAATTTTAAATAAATAATAATAATTGTTTTGATAAATACACCCATTACAACCCCTTCTAACTTGAAGGTTTGTATTTTGAGGGGTTGTTAATTCTAGACAAACTATATATATATATATATAT